GTGTAGTTAGATTTTTTAATAATTTGGTGATTTAATATAGCACAGTTTCAAAAAGGTTAACCATATAATTAGGTTTTCAGTAACATAATGTATTATTTAAAAAAATAAACAAAATTGTTTGCGAATAAAAACGTAAGTATTAATATTTCAATTCTATTCCACTTCAAATATTAGGCGTAAAATCTGTTTACAGTGGTTTGTATAAACAAAACATCCCTCCAAAAACCTACATAATATTAAAATTAGGAAGTAAAAAGTACAAAGCGGTATCATAAAAGATTCCGTAAAAGCCCTACCGATTTAATTTCCGGATTTTTATGAGAAAAAATTATACAACATCTGTTACACTTAAAGGGGAAAATGTTAACGTTTTGAATTTATTAATTTTAATCGAGTTACCGGACAATTTACTTACGGTTATATTTGTTTGTTAGAATAATATATTTTCATATTTATCATGATTATAATTTGAGTAAAATCTTAGTATTTCTAATTTATCTTCATATAAGATTTGGATTATTGATGCAATTATCACACCGTTTTGTTGACTATTAAAACATTATAGTTTAGTATGTTATAGTATAGGTGCTAATACTCTCTGTATTAGTACCAACAACAAAGTGGCAGGTAGAAAGACCTGGCCGCAGATGCACGTCTTGGTTGAAAAACCTTAGACAATGGTTCTGTCACAGCACAAAGTCATTGTTTAGAAGCGCGGCATCCAAAATTAAACTAGCCATCATGATGATGATCTTCGCAAGGAGATGGCACTAGAAGATCAGCACCAGAGCGTACCAATTCTTGAAAGGCCGGCAACGCACTTGCGAGCCTTCTGGCATTGTGAGTGTCCATGGGCGGCGGTATCACTTAACATCAGGTGAGCCTCCTGCCCGTTTGCCTCCTATTAGATAAAAAAAATATAACAAATTGTTTTATACATATATATATATATATCTGAATGTAAATGCAACAAAACGTCATAATTCTAACTGGTATTTAAGTTTCTCATCCAGAAGACTTAAAATCAATGTCAAAGTACACATTTACCTCGGTCTAACGTATTATATATATTCTACCTTCATTTTGTTTAATAAACAACAAACATTTAAACTGAATAAACATCTAATGATAAACAACTTAAAAAACAACGATTTGTTAATGACACTGGAAGGAACTAACGTTTAAGATACAGGCTAGGCCTAGTTTAAACGCTTGTGCTCATAGAATTATATTATGTACAAGGTTAACCAAAATTAATAGTGTTCACGATTGTCTATTGAATGTTTATAATGTAAGTACAACATTTAATTGTTTTTGCGTCAAATAAAGTGATTTTTATTTTATTTATGTAACTAAAAGTTGTATGTACCTAAGTCTTAAACAGTGATAACATAGTTGTTGTCACAAAACAAGTAAATGTTCCACTTTGCTTAGTTTTAGAATTGCGTAAATTCGTATAGATGATCATACTCAATATCGCTCCTACGTTTTTATAAGGTACATATTTCATTTTGCAAATAATCTAGTTTACGCTCTATGGGAATAGAATACTAAGTATGGAACGGGAGTGTTAAGTGAAAACTTAAGTAAGAAATTCATATAGAGTAGAATCAATTGATGAAAAGATTGATTGGTTCTCGCAAAGATTCTTTGGTTTCCTAGGCTGTTACCTGTATAATATAAATAAATTAAATGAAAAAATTAACATTTACCCACCATTGTTAAAATGGTTACTACTTGGTTGAAGACGTTGAGTTATGATGAAACAGAAGATTTAATAACTGTTACTCTGTAACACACCCACTCCCCCACACATACACGTGTGTGTATGTGTACACACGCATGCACACACACCCACCCAGAGAGAGAGACACACACACGCGCGCACACACACACACACACACTCACACATACACGCACACACACACAACATTTATTTTTACGACTTCGTTTGCAATTTTTTCTTTTAGCACTTAACTTATGACAATGACCTGATTGTACGTGTTCCGGTCCGGTAGTGGAGAGGCTGGCTATCTGTCACTCAGGTCTCCTGTTACAGAGACTCTGTCTCTCACATACACTTTCTAATGTTATCATCTTAGTTTAATTATAATAACCATGTATGTATATGTGAGAGAAGAAATAAAGATTATTATTATTAGTATTTGCACCAGTTCAAACAATTTGTATGACTCAAAACTTGGCGATTAAAAAGAGTGGCGGAGAGTTTCTTGCCCGCTCTACGCCCTTGACTTGCGAACTGGTAAATGAAAGTTTAGAATCAATTTAACGTCATGGTTCTGTGGGCTACAACGAGCTAAGTGTACGCCGAGAATTCGCGCTTCTAATGTACTTCATAAAATTCTTACATGACAAGGACAATAATTCGGCAGTACTTCAGTATCTTAGCTTCAATGTACCTGATGGGTACGTCAGAAAGCGACATCGTCCGCCGTTACTTCATGTGCCCACAGCTAGGACTAACCTTCTGAAGCGGGCACATATGATTCGGTGTATTAATTTAGTTGACGAATTACATAGGTTAACGGACCTTTTTCATTGTCCGTTGAGTGAACTGGCAAAAGTTCTATTATTTGTTAGTGCCTTTACTAGTTAGTTAATTTCTTTTATTTTTTACACGCTTTATATTAGCTTCACCTGTATGTATGTATGTATGTTACCGACTCCTTCGGACTCGATTTTGACCCCCTTTAAACGGAGAGATTTAATTCAAATTTTGCGTACCTACCTGTCAAAGATCGATGACAATACTGAAAAAAAAAATTAAAAAAAAAAATTTAACAAAAAAATAAATAATAGTTTAAAAAAACTAAAAAACACGCTCTGTGATCGAGCAACCCACGCTTTTTCACAATAATACCAGTATTTTTTGTTCATTACCATTTTCAGCCTAAATTAGGAATTATTTTTCACTTTTTAGTTTGATGTGCTTTAAAAGCGTGTTTTTAGTTTTTTTAACTATTATTTATTTTTTAGTTAATTTTTTTTATTATGTAATTTTGTTCTTCCTAATGAATTTCGTATGTTTGCTTTTTTGTATCGTCTGTAAATTTTATTCACTTATAGTTCACTTTTGTCACTTTAGGGTATCCTGTTAGGGCAGGAGTGTTTTTATAAATAAATAAAAGTAAAATAAATAAGAATATCTTCTGTTGACGTTTATAAGTGTACTTGGTGTAATGTATGAAAGTTATTTTATGTTTGAGCTGAACAATTTCTATTGAAAAATTCGCACCGTCCATGTTTATGGACATTTATGTTTTTAAATGTAAAACTCTACTTTTGTTACTCTATTTGGTATTTTAAATACAGCTCAGTAGTATATACTGACATTTCTATGTACCATAAAGATACAATATGTAAATTAACAGACTGCCATGAAAAACGGAACCACCCGAGTACGTAGATAAAAGGTAGGATAATTGTTCAATACTTCGCCTTTTATTTAATTAATACTAGCTCGTACGATAAAAGAAAATGTAGTGAGGAAATTGGCATGTGATAGATCTAAAAATCGACGACGTGTGTCTGGCACAGTCGCATGATCATCTTTCATTAAGGAGAAAATGTTCACGAAACAGGAAATTAAGAGCCAAGACCAAGATGTCGTAGCGTGTACAGATGATGGTGAAAGGGGTGTTTCAACATTCTATTGATGGATTAAGGAATTTCAAACATTTTAAGTGTTTATTAGATCAAAAAGTATAAAGAAAACATCAAAGAAAAAGTACCAATTTATTTCGCATTTGAAATTAAATACATAGATTTTAAAATCTTTTAATTCTATATGTACAATCTAAATTACAAGGCATTTGACGAAAGATAACGTAAATCCTATATAGCCTTATGTTGGCCTTTAAATAAAACTTCCTTAAGAGATAAAAAATTGACGTTTCAAGTGCTGTACAGCAGCTGTGATCAGCAATAGGGTCGCGACACGGTGACCACATATACGCCGTCAAAGAAGTTTTATTTAAATGTGTAGTACTGTGCTTGTAAGCTTTATAAATTTAGAATAAAATTAATATTACACTAATTTAATTAAAAGTTATTAAAACATGTTTCAAAGCATTATCAAATAATCTGTATTAAAAATACAACACTATTTTTTCTATATAACAAATTCTTAACTTTCATTTTAAGACATCGTTCGTAATGAAAGCAATTTAATCGAAAGTTTCTCGTATAATCTCAATTTAACTTTTAACGTCATTAAACATATGATAATAACGATTTAAAGTTATAATTTCGTCCACTCTTACATATAACTCTGAACACTAAGTTTCTTAACTAAAGAATACATTTCTTTGGAATTGTTAAGTGCGTTTTTTTTTATTTATATTTACAATATTATGTATAATAAAACGAATCATTACTTATATATGAAATAATTATTGAACCCCTATAGTCAACCTATACTTATAATGAAGTTGTCGATAGATAACATTGACAGTAAATATAATATTTTTTCCAAATTCGAGCGCACTCCTATTTTTAAAACAAAAATCGGTTGTCTGTAAAGTCGGTTTACTGACGATAGTTGAACGTGACAACGTCATAAGAAAATACTAATGGAATGGTTGCATTTTTCAAAAGAAAATTTTAATTTTATTTGTTTGATAGATATTTTGTATGGATATAGAGTAGGAGGTAAATGGAAATCACAACTGAATTGATCAAGTTACATTTATTTGTAGGCATAAATAAATTATGTCAATTTTTAACGAACGAACGCTGCTGAACGCGGAGGCCAATTGGGCCTCTTTGTCGCTCGTTCCGCGCTCTCGCTTGCACTTAAAGCCTTAAACGCCTCAGAGCGAGGTAACGCCGCATGCGTCATGTTTTTTCGTGCATGTAGCCGGTTCCATCGTTTATATATACATTATGAGACGTTCTCACGTCAAAAATGCCTAAAATATATTATTTATATAGAATACAAATAATACTAAAGCTAATACATATTATAGCTTAGTTTATGCTTACAATACAATAAAAACACACACAATGGTCAAATTTAAAATTGATTGTAATAATCGACTTCCGGAAGTTTTGTAATATTTAACCTCATCCTGAGTAGGGGGCGAGTAAGAAGCCTCGGAAATAAGCTTACTAGGACAAGGTAGTAAATCTTTAGGAATGTCAAGTAGTTTTTTACGGTATTCGATTTTTAAATCCAAATCTGTGTCCTGATCTTGCAGAGTGTCGTCATATTCTTCGAAGTCATCTTCGTCGTAGGTTCTGTCGGTCTTAGCAATTACTTTGTTCGGTTCATTCCTTTGGGTTTTAATATTGATCAAGTTGGTTTTTAGTTTGTTATCCATGATACAGTTCAGGCGGTTGAGAGCAGCGCGGACGCGTTTGCTTCTAGTCTCGTCACGGAGTTTGTGCAGCCAGGATAGTCGACAGTCACAGGTTAACTTGTTACCTGTGAACAAATTGTAGAAGTTAAAAGAAATTTAGCCTTACTGTAAGATTCACCTTATAACTAAAGTAGTCATTTGTCTCTTCATCACAGCATAAACACGATTTGACAAAAATACACGAAAGAGAGTGTAAGTTAAAAGAGTGCAATTACGTTGCTTTAGTTTTTATGCTGAAGTCTTTTAAATTACTACTAAGCAGGTACGGTTAAGATTGTCCCGGTAATTGGGGTTTTAAAAAGAAAGACGATTTTTGGATCCAATTGAATTGATTGATAATCAAGATTTACAAAATATTAAAATGAAAGTCAACAAATGATAAGCGCGACGAATTGTACCGAACTAACTTCATATTTATCGTATCACCACTTGGTGTGAAATGCTGACTAAACAGAAAGTACTAGAGTATTGTTGAACCTAATGTTACAAGGTTACCTTATAACATTAGGTTTTGTGTGTGTGTGATAAGAACGTGCACAACAACAACAACACAACAAGAACAACGATAACGATGCAGATCGGATACAGTCAACAACAACACTAGTATGCCATTCTTGACCGGATACTGATAACTCCAAGAAGTATAAACAAAATTGATTAATATTATATATATTATAATTGATGACATTACGATAAATAAGTGACAGACGAAATTTAACTTGTGTAAAAACACAGTTCATTCCACAGCTGAGCATTTTTTAAGGCAGTTTTTTCGCCCACTGAAGTATTTCCGAACCAATTCGACTTAGGATCCTTTAAGAAAAGAGCGTACCAATTCTTCAAAAGCCGGCAACGCGCTTGCGAGCTCTCTGGCATTGAGAGTGTCCATGGGCGTCGGTATCACTTACACATCAGGTGAGCCTCCGGCCCGTTTCCCCCTGTTTTTCCCCCTGGCCTTTTAAGAATTGGGCTTGGGTTTTTGTGGGCAGCTGGTTCCACATTGAGAATTGACAATGCACTATTATGTCACTGACTATAACTAAACCAAAAAGTAGTTATTCATATTATTTTATGCCTTTTTTGCCTGCACTACATAGATTTAAATCATTTTTACAAGTCCTAAATTACCGAAGTCATATTAAACACAAGTCAAACTTGCATTCATGATGTTAGCGATGTGTTCAGAGTTGTATATATCTTATGAGCAATACTACGAAATTTAACGAACGATTAGCTAACGACTGATTTAAAAAGGCACAGGCACATTCTTTCCCCAGTTAAATGTGTACGTTTATTTAAATCTTAACTACGCTTAAATAACGGTTAACTCCTATGTAAGTTCTTATACCGTTGTAAAATATACAACAACGAGTAACTAATAACTCTCTAGTCTATAAATAGCGTACAGAAATAAATAATGAACGCTGGTAATACATTAAATCATATCTGAAAATGCAAGTGCAGCCAGCAATTTTGCGGCGGCCATATCTTACGACACGAAATACACTCCATTAAAATGTCACTTGCTACATCTAATGGGACCGCTTCCGTGGCTCAGTTGGTCACTATGTTTATATGCGTAACAATATATCGGTTATAAAGTTTGTCTTTCTAAAATTGCAGAGAAAACCATGTGTTTGTCCCGTTACGTTCACGTTAGGGGACTATTTTAATAGCTATTTGTTGTGTTACTCCACACTGTTATAAACTTCTTTTTATTTCTGATTTTGTATACAATAAATGAAAAAGAGGTAATCTTGCAAATGAGCCCAGTCAATTTACGGAAAATGTGTGTAAATTTTCTTAAATGTCTGAAATCCTGATTAAAATACAATGAGAATGATTCAACTCCTTCAAAACTTCATCAACACTTTCTTGTTACCATGATACTACAATAAGTCTTTATGCCCCATGAAAGCGGCTCATATGATGGATAGAATCGAAAAGACTGCATCAGCTATGTCAAATAACATAATCTACTTCTCTTAGAAAGCATTATGAGGTCTAACATAAGTAACTTCTGGAAAGGTGATTCAATAATCCGCACTAGTGTAGCTTTTATTTATTCGTGTGTGTGGTGCTACATGCAGGCACCGAGAGCCGAGTAAAATCACACGGTAAATATTTAGGCGTCTTTTAATAATAGTTATATTTAGTGACGCTACAACCCTATATGGTTCATATCTTTAATAGTTTTTATTTCATAGTAGGCATAGCATTCGCCCTAACAAAGGTCGTGTTTTTTTTAAACTGAGACATTTTAGGAAAACAACGATGTTTTACTTCGACTTCTTCGATCTTTAAATGTTTTAGATAATTTTGGAGAAATTTTTTACAGCGTCTAGTTTTTAAAAAAAAAATGGTCTACAACTTATAAGTAATCCAACAATTTCAATGGCCCTCACATATTTTATGAAAAAAAAATCGCCTCTACCGAATTTCTATAAAAGGTAACCATAACATAACTGAGCCAACATAGCCGTGATAGCCAACAAACGCTTTTCGAGGCTATTTTACTGTTTCGGCTTAAACCAAATACAAATATATAGATTATCGAACCTACTATTTCGCACTAATTTCACGTGAAATTTATTTACGAAATATTACTCTTAATTATTTATTGTTAATAAACTATAGTTAGTTTAGTTATAAAAGCCAAATTTTTGCGGTTAGATAATTTGTACAGTACCTAAAGTGGATTCAAAAGTCTCCTTAAAATTTCTCTTCGCTACATTATTTGGCAAATGATTAGATGTAATTAACACAAGTTGTATAGGTAGTTAAGTTGTTCAAACGTAGGTAGTTGTTGAAAGTTAATAAGGAACGTAGGGGCGTGCGTCCTGAGCAGTTAAGTTTCTAACTTGGGTTAACTAACTTCTGATGTAATTAAACGCAACATTTTGAACACCTCCAATAATTTATTGTGAAATGTTATGAATAATTTAACTAATTAATTGTATTTTATTTCGTCTATAACGAATAGTTGTGCATAGTAACTTGAAGATTTAAATAAAAAGATTTGTATCCCTCTCTAGATATTTTATAATCATAATTAGAAAATCTACCACGGCAAAAAGTCCCGTATCCACAAATGGAATATGAGCATGACCTCAAACTAGACATTAACCCGTTGCTGCTGTAGTAAGCTCTTCTGTTTCTTTTTAATAGTATTAGAAAAGCTATAAAAAAAGTTAACAATTATTATCAGATTTATACGTTACCTATTATATCTACGTAAAATATACCTATATTATACCTAAATTATTTTCTATTATACTAAGAACTGAAATTAATCTATAAAAAGATATACCGAAGGTAAAGACCTGATTTAAAAATAAATTAACAAATATGAACTATCTAGTATTTCATATAAAAATTAAAACTTTCAAAGAGAATCTCGAAAGAAAACTCACCGTCAAGAGAGATTAACGCATAATTGGATTTCATATTATCTATAACGTTCGTCAGCGTCTCGTGTTTTAATGTTTCCAAGTTATTGTTCCGTAAATCCAAAATATTCAACTTTTGTATATCATCAAACACTCCGTCATCCAGCGCTGCTAGCTTGTTATTGGCTAAGGAAAGTTTCTTAAGTTGTGTCAAGCCACCAAAACCTCTTTCCGAAATGAACTTTATTTCATTCCCGTCTAAATAAAGTTCATGAAGACCCCAAAGTTCTGCGAACGCAAGATCGCCTATCATACTCAATTTATTGTTTCGCATATCCAAGGTAATCAAATTAGATAGCCCCTGGAAATTCTCTCTGATTACTACAGTCAACAAATTATTATTCAAGTCAAGTTTGATTAAATTGTTCAAATGCTTAAAACACCCGTCGTGTAAAACTTCTATTGTATTCTTTGAAAGATAAAGTCTTTGTAAATTAGGTAAGATGTAGAATACATCTTTTGTTATCTCCGAAATCTGGTTTTCTACAAGACTCACATTCACCAACATAATTAAATGAGCGAATGACATCTTCTCCAATTTCGCAATTTTATTTTTATGCAGCGTTATTTCTCTTAGCGTCGTTGAATTTGTGAATGCGAAGGACGGTATGCTGTATATGTTTGCGTACTGAATATTTAAGTATTGCAAATGGTCCAATCGCACAATAACTTTCGCGGGAATAAATGTGAGCCCACCGTCCGTTCTCACATTGAACGTCAGCCGTTCGATTTTCGGTTGAGAATAAAAGTTGGACCAGAAGGGGTCATCTTCAGCGATTCCACCGTTAAAAACCCAACAGTCGGCTTTTGTTGCTGTTTTTATTTTTATACTTTCGCAATAGCAATGCACTTTCGATGCTCTGTCTTGTATGTCGCAAATATTAACGAAATGCGAATAAGGCGACTTTTCGGATTTCCATCTGCGTTTATCATTTTGACGACTCTCAGTGAGATTTATTTCGACTGTTGCGAAAGCTATCATTAGGATCAGATACGTTAAGCTCATCTTTATTCCCACTCACATTGGGTCGCCTTTTATCTGAAACAAAGAAGTTATATTGAGATCTCGTTTAGGTTAAAATGGTGAAAGATAAATTATGTCACAAAGTTTTATGACACGATCTGTACTTTGCTTACATTGATGTTTGTTTTTAGTAAAAATATTAGAATTTAAAATATAAACTTCTAGAAAGAAACACTTTTATTTTAAATCAGATTTTCATATATGTAGTTTTAATATAATTAAGTAGTAGAGTGAGTAACAGAACATTTATTGATTCATAATTAATAATTCAATTTTCACCGTCTCTACATATTATTGGGTAATATTTTTGAAGTTATACTTCTTTAGGCGCGTTATGAAAAATTGATGAGAGTGAAATTTTACGATGCGCGCGCACCTATGACACAAAATTGGGAGTGTGATTATAGCGTGCGCACTGCGCAATCTACAAGTAAAAAGAAATAGAATATGCGTGAAGCTAACTTCACGCATATTCTATTTCTTAGCTTAGCAGCTTAACAAGAATTTTGAATGACCATGACATCTGACAATGACATTTGAAACAAATATAGGAGTATTAATTAGTTTTAAAGATTATATACCTAGTTATTTTTATTATACAAGTGCGAATTTTATATTTGCGTCTGAATTATAATCAGAAGTGATTTAAATTGAATATCTAAATCAATACTAATTCATATGATAAAATATTTGTGAAAAAACTGTGCCGAACTTCCTGAGTGCTTCAATACAATTGAGGTTAACTATCCGTATGTATTATCGAGTATTATTGTTGATTAAAACTGAAACATGAACCATTATTCATTGCTTTTGTTTATTGCGTTTGTTACAGCAACTTTTTAGAAATATTCTACGACCCTATATATCAATAATTGAGAACAAAGATTTAAGCACGAATACTAATAAGGAGAAAATGAAGGCTTGGAGCGATATTACAGAGAAGTAAACATTTTAATAAGTACCTGTATCTCAAAAAAATGATTACATTATTTAATCAAAACATGTAATTTTTCAGATTTAATCTAGCAAATATAAGGACAAGAGACAAAAAACAATTGATGAATCAGTGGAAGTGCACTAAATTGAATAAAAAAAAAGAGTTGTCATCTTATCGCCGTGAAACATCAAAAACTAGAGGTGGAACAAAGCCACCATCACCTTCTCCAGACACAATGGATATGGCAGAGATTATACCGCAACGGTTTGAAGTAGATTTCAATGAATTTGATTGTGATGGTGTCGAGGTAGGAATGTTAATTATAAATATGATGGTGATGTTCAAGGTTCAACCTCTCAAGCATAGGCACATACTTTATTCCCCTACAGGGTAGTTAGAGATATTGTAATACCTCAAAACATCCATGTTGCTCTTGTAGTACCGAAACTCTGTCCAGCCAGATGTGAGCCCATTCCCACTTATAATGGACAGTGGGTATAATACACCTTAATACCTGAGTGCGAACCACTCACCATGATACTTAAATTAATAGATGTTATTTATATATTTCAGGATATTACAAATAAAATCATTTTGGAAACAATTGCTATCCCAAAAGCAAATAAAGCCAACAATGACAAGGTAATAAATCAGTTTTGACATAACTTGAATACTAAAAATGCCAAACAAAGGTGTGCACAACAGTGACAACATAACTTAAGAATTTCATTATTTTGTAGGATTAAAAAAAGGTTAAAGAAAATCATGTCGAACTGAACAACAAGAATCCCCAAACAACTCAAAAGAAACCTACAAGGAAGACACCGGTATTATATTTAAATTATCTCTATCTCTAAATAGAATAAAAGAAAGTTGCTATCCAGGTCTGTAGCATGTGCTACAAATTATATTATTAACACATTTATATAATTATATTAATATAAATGTGTTAAAAATTTTATAATATGAATTATAAAAAATTTTAAGTTTTGCATGGACAGAGCTTAAATTAATATTCTCTTATTTGTTGCAGAAGCAAGTAGTAGTTTTAGTTTTGGAGAAGCCTCGTAGATGCACAACCAAGTAATGATTAATTTAAAATTACAAACCGAAATTCTGATGAAGACATTAGAGTCACTTAAAAATAAATAGTATAATGAAATAAAAATGTTTTAAAGATAAATAGTGCTTTATTTGTTTAAATAACTTAATTGTTAAAACAACCTAAATTAAGAACTATCAAACTAAGTTTTCATCAATAAAAATGGCTCTTACTGCTGCTCCATGCAGTTTATTTTGAGATGAGGGTACTGTTAGTGTGGGCAGGGTCTCTTCATCATCATCAGAGATAGGTTCCTCTTTTAATTCAATGGCTATATTGTGCAATACTGACAATAAACACCTAAATCTGTTTTTCCAAACACCAAAACATCTCTCTACGCTATTGCGAGTTCTGATGTGGCATAATTGTATGATTCTTCTTTATGATTTTTTATTTTGTAAGAGAATAATTATAAATATTTATTTATTAAATTTTTCAAATGTAAACTGAACTTTATTGACTATAATGACTCCTTTTCCAGGCTTTGATTATTTAATTGTAATTAATTATTTGCATGCAATCAAAATCTATTTCTAATAATGCCAAAGAAGTATAACTTCTTACGCGCGTACATAAGTACACGCACCCTTTTTTTATATAAAGACATAGACATAACATTTGTTACTTACAAAAGACACGCACAGAAATACACAAAATAATAAAAAAAAGAAAAATAACAAAAAATATGGAATGAAAAAAAAGGAATAAGGTACATTTTAAGTGTGTAATGTGTGAGTGTTGTGGTTGTACCTAAGTGGCCCTGGCGCAGCATTATGTTGTGGAGCAGACGTGTTCCACAGCGCTGGTCATTCTGCTAGACCACAACAGTTAGTTTGTGCCTCAGACGCAAAAAAAAGAATGTAATAATAATAGCAGAAAAAATACTAATAGTGAATAAAAAATAAGAAAATCATATAAGTATACGAGTACGTATATCTGCCCCGTAGTTGGCATCAAACAACTAGTACTAACGTTTACCTTTACAAAATAACATAGCATAAGCAAGAAGTGGAATGTGTCGTATGCTTATACATATTCCAATCTCAGAAGCAGGTGCATTTCTCGACAATACATTGCAGCCTCTTGACAGTTAAATTTTGTAACCCTAAATATTAGTTGTATATTACATATTTTATGAAAATACATGTATATTAATTTTGTGTAATCGCCATTATCCGTGCGTTGCAACTATATATTAGGAATTGTCCGTCGTTCCATAATTGAGCGTTTTTAAGGCAGTTTTTGCCGCGCACCACCACTATGTGAAACCTGAAATATTTCAGAACTAATTCGACTTAGGGTCCTTCAAAAAAAGAGCGTTTTGCTTGAGCGAGAGTGCTTGCAAAAAAGCTTCTGGCAATGTGAGTCATTTAACATCAGGTGAGCCTGTTGTTTTGCCCAGGGTGCCCGTTTGCCCCCTATTTCATTTAAAAAAAAACACTATATTTCTTGAAGACAAAGGTACAAAAATCTATTCCTTATTCCTAGCTTAGTAAGTAATTTACTACTGTTTAAAAACATTTCATGTATAAATAAAAACAAAAGGGTTTCTAAAACCAGAAAATAAAGTATTACAGATATTTGATATTTATCAATAATAATAATTTATTGCAAGAATATGGTACAAAAATGTTATGGTGGTACAATCGAAGGTCGTATATTCTGCCACACATAGTGGTGTGCAAATTTGTCTACATTTTTTTTTTTACATTTTACAGTATTAGTCATATCAATTAGTCAATTCTTATATTATTGTTCCGTGGAATAAAGTATCACATTATTAAAATATAATATTATGACGTTATCAAATTAATATTAATTATAATATTTCACGCAAATAATCATTTATGGAATAATATTTTTTTCCCAAAGTGTAATAAGTAGATTTTTGGTAAATTATTATAAACCTTGAATGCCATACAAAAGGTGTTTTTCCTTTACAGTGTGTGTGTGTCGTAAAATTGAGTGTTTATGGAGTCTATGGCACCTTGGTAACTTACTTGACCTTACTGTTACTTCAATTAGATGGTTGTTGAATCAGCTGAATATTTTGTCAGTTTTCTATACTATGATACAAAAATTGTGTAAATAAATTCTAAATGATTTATTTAAAGTGTTCATTAGACTACTCAAACATTTAAAAAAAATAACTCACATTAAAGGGTAAACCTGTTTGAACCAGTTGTAACAATAGTCTATATAAAAATTACAATTAAATTCACTAAATTCAACTATAAACCTAACCAATTTTTAATGCCTACATATTCTTTTCGTGGGATAATTTCCACATGAACAAAGTAATGTGCATCGAGTATAAAATGTTTAAAGAACTTTATTTCTCATTACAACATTTTTTTTTTTTTTATTTACATGAGAAATTTAATATTAAGTATATATACGAACGAGATACACGTCGCCATCAGCTAGCCCAATTCTAGTCTAATGGGCCCATTCTGATGTGTGTCTTTAATGCCCTTTTGAACTGATCAATCACGCTAATGTTACGAAGCTTAGACGGCAACCGATTAAACAATTGCACACCCTCATACCTAATAGATCTCTTTAAATAATTTGTGCGCGGCTTTGGCAAGATAAGCAAACTCGCTCGACGAGTATTGCGTGTAGTGGTGTATTTGATTTTATTAAATGATAAGTTACTATGTAGAGAGTTATTTAAATTTTTTTTAATAAGGATACAGGTGCTATAAACATATAGTTGTTTAATCGTCATAATTTTAGTTTCTTGGTAGATTTTATTAGTAGGTGTTAAAAAATTGTATCTGAATAGTGCTTTTATTAATTTATTTTGTAGTGTTTGTATTGTAGAAATTTTGTTTTTGCATGCTGTACCCCATATTTCAATTAGGTATATGAAATGTGGCTTGACTAAACAATTATAGATCAAATGACGTACAGATTGCGGAATGCATTTAGATATTGACC